GCATTATGTGGAAGTTTATCCGAATTATGTACCCCAGCCACCTGCCAGTACATGAGTTATCCTGGGACGGCGTGAGTAATTGTTTTTTATAACTTTATTTGTTTTTGTTATTCGCATAATTTAGTAGTTGTATGGAAGCAGCGAAGCCTCACGGTGACAGAATTTCTAAAATAATTCAATTTCATGTTTTCAGTAAAGCCTATTATATCGATGAGCGAGGAAAGAGGCATCTCTATTCAGCAATGCAATATATGGATTGTGTGATGTCATTTTGTGAGAAGGCGAGCAGAAGTGAAGAGCTGTTCCCAACCAAATACGGTATGTTGACATTGCATGTGTTTACGGCAACCTATCTTACCATGATTCTTGCGAATTTTTGCTGTTTGCTTTTGAAATGACGTATGTTTGCATTTTCCTGTGACTCGATTATGAAAGATGTCTTTCATAATATTTGTCACAGAAAAGTCGTTAAGTTTCTATCTTTCTTATCTTGTCACATGGTGGGGCAGTGATATTCATACTGAAAAAGTGAGAGTATTCCGAAACGAAGCAGCTGAATAATAATTGTTTTTTTTTTTCAGGTAATCAATTTTCGGGTGATTTTGAGTCCCATATCCGACGGGTTATCCGCCTTCTATGGCACTGTTGCGGGCATTTAGCATTGAAACACTGGGATGAGTTGGGTGAGTCAAGCCTTAAGAGTTTGTCGGTGATTTTTACTAAAAATACTTATTTTTTCACATAATTTTTTTTTTTTTGTACTCATGAAGTATTTTGGGATACAGAGAGGCTCTTGTAGGCAGTCCTTTGTTTCTCGTTGTAAGAGGTGTTCCTCACTGAATTCGTCAGTTTTGTCGCTCAGAGTGTTTCAGACAGAAGCGTGACTTAAAAGCTTAGTCATGATTTGCTTTGTTTGAATGTTCCTTCGAGGAATTAATCATTTCCCAGCGGCGTGTGCCAATCATCGTCCTCACAAGGCCCAGCCCGTCCGTTTTTAAAAATGTCTCTACTTGAACTTAGTTTCGGGTCAGGTGGATATGAGATGCGAGGAGATTTGAATCCTTTGTTCGGCCTGTTTTGCTCTCTTCATTTGCCTATATTTTCCAGGTCAACTTGAATTGCGGCCGCAGTGCGCGCTTGTGATGGCTCACTTGTCAAAGCTAAGTAAAACATTCGCCCTACTTGATAGTAAAGATCAGCAGCTAATCAACAACATGGTACAAACGGTTGGTGTCTATTCGTTTATATTGAAGCTGTTGTGGGGAGTTCATTTTTTAAAATTGGTCAATAAGAAAATAGCATCTCGAAATTGCGCGAGTATGACGTACATCGTATTTATTCCCTCCCTTTGATGTAGCAACTTCCAATCTCTCTATTTTATTATTTTTATTTTCACTGTGTCATGGTGCGGGGGAGGAGGAGGTCCAGTAACAAATGGCACCAATTACTACGCGCGCGTGGTCGGGAGTCAAATTCAGGACCAAATTTTGCCTAGCTCACCAATCCTTGGTCTGGTTAGTACCAGGCTCGTTAGGACAAGAACGCTGAGTTGTATGAATTGTACGTAGGCAGCCCCTCGCAGGTGACGGCACATTGTTATATCCTACAAATGCAATTTCAATTCTGAATAGAGGTATAGTACGGTGCGCATTTCAAAAAGGGACTTCGTTTCTTGCTAAAAAGCTTTCCCTCATAAAATCATGCGTGATTGAATGAGCATGAATTTTTGCATTAAAAAAATGGATTTCTTAGGGTAAGTTCAGCAGTGATGGAAAAACAACAAATGCTCCTGTACAACTTAACGTATAACACGCTCACTGTATGGGCGTAGCTTGCACTCCGCCCATAAAGGACCTCACTGGCTAGACGTTCTCCTGATACGGTAAAATACAGTAATAGATGAGGCCAATCAGTGAGGTTCCCGTCTGGGCATGCGCAGAACCCGCCAACGCGATCAGCGCGCAGTATGGGTTCAAGGATTTTTACCGCTTTTCTCCATCCTTTTGTCTTTGGTAGACCAATCGCCACAATTGCTTTCATTATCGGACGAAATAATGTTCATCTATTACTTACACCTTCTCCCTAGCGTTAGTCCCGCGCAGTCACAGGTTCCGCTGTCTTTCTCAGTCGTCGCCACTTTACCCTGTCCAGGGCGTCCTCTGCTGTGGCCATAACTTCTTTTAGATCCTTCTTGATCGTCGCGGATTCAACGCACTACAATACTTGACTTATTTTGTTATCTTTTCTTCAACCCTCCAACCGGTTTTCGTTCTAGATCCGTCCATCTCACATCGCCTCATCAGGCTGTGGGGACGACACCGGCGGTGCGACATCCCAGCGGTGGAGTCGTATTCCATCGTCGAAAAAGGTGAAAAGTGGCAGTTGGGGGTGGACACCCGACACCAGCTGTACTTACGTGTAAACCATATGCACAAACGTGCTAAAGACACCACTACTGTTGCTGCCGGTGATGCTGCTCTGTTGTACTTGATGCTGCTGTTATCGCTACTAACTTTGCTGCTGTTGCTGCCATGGACTTTCTCACAGAATTGTTTGAATGTAACCATAATCTACTAAACTATTCTTTTCGACCGCTTCCTTCAAAGTAAAAACGGCGTTTTAAACTATATCGATTGGGCGACGACAATCGTTCAAAAGCGGGTGTTCGCCATGGTGAATTTAAGGTGAAATCGTACGCACGCTGCAACACTAGACACGCCCGCGTCACTTTTGTGGGCGCGTGTGTGTTTATGTCACCAATCGCCATAATGGGGTATCCTTTCTCAAACAGGCTAGGTTGTCACATATATTTTCGGATGTATGTGTAACATTGCTGTTAATGTTCCCCATGCTTTGGTATGTGTTGAAAAGAATCAATTGCCTCAAGAGTTGTGATCGTCACAAGTGTTCTAGTTTTTGTGTATGTTTGTGTATGTGTGTTTTATATATTGTTCTGTCATCTACCTGTGAAAACTGCAGATATTGTCATAGTTCTCTTTGGTACTGATGTAAAACACTACGTGGAGATTTTATCTGGTCTACGTCTTCAATTTCATTGTCTAACTATCATATATATATATTTTTCATGACCGGGCATAGATTTGTCCCAGAGGTTATTAGTTGTATTCGCCTCCATTCTCACTTGACTGTATATAGCCAGATATACAACTGTATCATGTGCATACTAGAACGTGTTAACCGTATTTCAGGCGTAAAATCTCGGTGGAATATCGGTTTAATAAAATCATATGTTTTATGTTGCTTGTGTACATAATGAGGTGGTCACACAGGGGTCCACTCAATGAGGGGGGGGGAGGACATGGTGTAGGACAGTTTGTGACACCTACAGTAAATTTAATGCACTATTTTCTTCCGTTTTCACATCTAACTCGGTTCCAGCAGCAAAGTTGGAATTGTGTAAAGCCGGCGGTTTCGTTACTAGCCAATCGCTCGATTTACAAAGATTGACATCTGCCTAAGCGACACGAACTGTCGCACTTTGTATTTAGATCACGCTATGATAACAGTTTTAGATGGAGGGTTGACTGATAATTAAAGCAGACAAAAACGCCGAGGAAGGCTTTAAACAGAGACTTGAAATAGAGACGTGTTTAATTCTGGTACCACTCAACCGACGACTCGCCCACTGTTCTTCCTCCGAAAATGCCGTCGCAGCGGGGGAGGGAGTAAAGCTCTCAGAACGATAAAAATGCCCTTACTTCTACCAATTCTACTCCTTACTTGTACCGTCTTACCTACTTCTACCTATATTCCCACCACTTCATTTTCGACGGGGGGGGGTATACGCGCGCTGAAACGGCGAATTTTTCTCCCATGCGCTCCCAACTCACCTAGCCTACTACTCGTGAAAACTCCACTTTCACCACAAACTCACATGTACTATACGACCCTCCCCTTCCTACAAACTCAACCAGGTACGACCCCCCCCCCCGTTGTTACTAGTAACAACGTAGGGTGACACTGTTCTGACTTGCTTGCATTTGCACTGCATTCGCATGGTTCACCAACTAGCCACGAGACATATACATCAGTTCAACAGAGATGTGATAATTAAGTGAATTAAGCAAGTAAAACCAACTACAAAGAGGCGAAGTAATAATTTCAAATCACGGTACAGTTAAACGCAATCGTGCAAGAACCAGCAGAAAATTACGGGATCTCCACGGCTGCAAGTGAGCGTGGCCTGTCGCCTCGCCTACTTCGAAAGCGTTCAACTTGTTTCTAGGGACTTTCCAAGGTGAGTTTTCAATTCATGACACTTCTTTGCACTTGACTAGGGCTATTGCATCTTTCCAGCCCACGAATCGGAAGTCCCAAAACCTGGTGGGACTGTTGCTTTAAAGGCGCAATCCCAGGATAAATTAAGGAGGATCAATCAATCATGTTCGAGCAAAAGTTTTAGCTCAAGGAGCATCCGCTCGCTGACGGCTAAGGTTTCGCAATATGCGCACTGAATTGCTCTCTCGAATGGATGCTCTCCCATATTACGAGGTTGAGTTTCAGCTGAGAAACAAAGCCACTAAAGGAAGCGACATTTCAAAGTTACCAACCTAATATATACTACTGTTCATAACCCAGATCAGTTCTATTCCTTTCTAACTGTCGCTATTTTGAGGCATTCTGCCATTATTACTGCTCTACTTGTTACAGTAGTTATTGGCCTGCTCTGAAGCCACTCAACTAATTGTGGCCTTCTACGTTACTTAATGTAGATATGTGCAAAAGCGGGTTTACATTGCCGTGGCAGCGGTAGCTGGCCCTGTAGTTGATCGGCACGAGATGTGAGTCTTAACAATTGCACTCGTTCTCTCGCGCCATGATTTGCGCTTCTCTGTTAGTTTTCTGCATCAAAATGGCCTAACTTCAATTCCGTTGTTGAACCTAATTTTTCTGATTAGATTTTTATTATGATTTAAATAAAAGTAGCAATCAAAAAATAATTTCGGTCGGGAAAGTTCCTGAATTTATTAAATTCTATCCTATCGCCTCAGAAATCGTTCAAAAGAGAAGAACGAGACGTCGATAGAAGTTTGACTTCCCGATGCCATCTCAGCGAGTACCTTGCCGATACCTGGTGCAACCTAGAACATGGACAGAATATTAACATTTCCGAGAACTGAAGCAAACTGCAGAAGAAATATTATATTTTCTCAGAAATATCCCCCACCTTGAATCCACTTCCTGAACCGCATCCACCAATTAGCACGTTTGATGAACCAGGATATGGACCAATAATGTAATGACAGTCCTCAGACACCTGAAATCAAGTACCTGTACAGGGGGGGGGGAGAAAAAAAAAAAGACATTTTGACTATGTCGCACTCCGGTCCCTTTTTCTTCGCAGAGATAGCCGTCACATTGACAGAAGTTCTCAGCAAAATATTCCCTAAATGTCCTCTATAAGTACACGCAGGCCCTCCTTCACTACCCTCACCGTCTTCAGAATATGACGTCATCTGTCACCGTCGTCGAGCTCAGGGAGGCCTACAGTAACTGCTTCAGCCTGAAGCTCTTACATAATTTCTTGGATCGATTCAACGTGGGATAGTTTCCTAGGGACATTAGCTCTAATATGCAAACCCTCGGAACCCGCCCTTCGGAACCCGTCGTAACGGTACACGATCAGTCGAGAACCCCATTGAGCTCGACCAGAGCACCATGTTTCCGGGGAAACTTTTCTGATGCCGTCCACGTAGATGGCCACTATGAAGATTTTCTTATGAAATGAAATGCGCTCTTCAATTCTAAGTTGGGAGCACACGCTTTGAGCTGAGCAAAGTGTGATTAAATCCATTTGAGTCTGGAGACAAAATGTTTTTTTATTGCCCCCCCCCCTGTAGATTACAGTAACCGCTAGCGATAGCATACGTGCGTGAACAGGGGAGTTGCATTAGGACACTTGAAGTGTCGTAGATGACAGCTAAACATTAGAAGGTCAACAGGAAAGAAGAGTGCGTGGCGATGTATACAAAGCTCGCCACCTTGTAGTAAGACCTTACGGCGTTGCAGGTCGGTCGTTTGCTTAACCCAAACTCAATAATAAGAATGTGAAGCATCAGCAGATATGGAGGTCCACACCTCAGCAGGTAATGGTTTCTGCGATAAATCTTGTGAAGCTCTGTGATTTTCTATAACTTGACCTTGTCAAGTTTCTATTGGAGTACCGTAAAGGTGATGAATGCAGTGGGTGGAGGGTGAGCCTTCTACTGACGTTAAAACTACTTGGTGGAAGGACTTCGAGAGGCTGTCCTAACCACACCTATAACGACTTGAGGGTTTTACATCACCAATGACTCCCGGCAACGTCATAAAAAATCCTCTGCTCTCCAGCCATCGTGGTCACCTCCTTTAACTTCTATGACCAAAACCGGAGGGAACCAAAAAGCACCACTGCACTAGTTCTTCAAAAGACAGCAGTTTCCAAAAACATTGCCTATGGTTTGATTTCCCTTACTTTCACCTCTTTGTAATCTGGAATGATGTCTGGATTTCAAGATGGAACCACTGGAACGAATAAACGGTGCAAAAATTAGTGTTTCCATCTTTCCGTCCCAAACTTTTCCTTGCGCCTCCTAACGTACAGTGTATTTGCACTTGTCGACATGTTCTGGCTGTGTGGCATTCAGAATGGGAACATGTTCCTTGATGAATGAGGCTGCGACATCAATAGACTCCTAAAATTATCATGATTCCACATTTAGAAGTTTGTATTTGTATTTGTTTATTACACAGATAATTCTGTGTGTGATTGCAAAAAAAAAGAAAAAAAAACGAGAAAACATACAACAAAACAACCGTAGCAGAAACAACGTGCGAACCAACATAAACAGTGGAGAACATCGTGACACAGCGTATGAAAGAGAAGCAAAAACTATGATGTAAATCGGTGCCTGACGTTACGTTTAGCCCTGCGAGTCACTACTTTCATTGAACTACCCCTAGTCCTTGACTCCCGGAATGCAAACAAGGTGTTGGGTCTGAGACCGGTTTTAAAATGAAGGATCTTAAAAAATGTCAAGAGGTCGAATTTTTTCCTCCTAAGCGCAAGTGACTCAAGACCGAGGTTGAGATTACGTACGTCACTGTTCGGTATATTGTCATATCTGAACCCAACGGTTCTCATAAAAACCTTTCTCGTGAAACTATTTTGAACTTTTTCCAGAGCTTTCACAGTTTTTATCTTGTGAGGGTTGAAAACTACAGTCCCATACTCTAGTATGGGCCTGATATAAGTTATTGAGTCGAGTGGCAATAATTCGAGTTATTTTGAAGAAAAAGCGTAAAAAAGTGTATTAAAAGGCCATGTTTTGCATGGTGTACCTACCTTTGACGGCACATCGGGATGTTTATCCCCATCGATAGGTTCTCCATGGTGCGCAGGCAAGCCATCCTGCCAACGCAAATGATCATACTGGATTTTCAGATTAGGAAGAAAGCAGCGGCAAATGCATCATTTATTGTTCTATGGTGTGTGATGAATATTATGACCAGGCAAGAAGCGTCTTGTTTTCCGGCTAGGAAAAATCTGACTGCTTTAGACTCAAGAAATGGGAGCTCGTCCTCGCCGTTTCCGCTTAGAACTAGCCACCAAGACACGCTCGTTTGCAGGAGTTAACAACGTCAGCCAATTTCATGTCAACAAACATCATTCTTTGATTGATAAGTCATTAACTAAAAAAAAACTGAGGGCCGTTCGAAGGCACGGATCGCGATCCAATTGGTTTGTCATTTTAACACGTTGACGACATCGCGCGTTTTGTGCTTTTGCACCGCGTGGGACAAGAGCGATTTTGCGAGCGCAGCCGCCGCACACCAAATCCATGGATTTTAAGTTGTAAATCCAATACTTAGATGCGATGAAATGTTTTCAATGATGTTCGATCTGTCTAGCTTATCAGGAGTTACAGTAATGGAAGTTTGACCGAAATGACGTGTTAAGGCCATGAAAAGGAAATTTTACTTAATTTCCCTTTAGTGGTTACAAAATTAATTTGGACGTGGTTGTTTCAGTAAAAACACATATCTTCCCATACGAATAGGTTTGTATTCACTTCTGTTATTCCTTTTTATCAACATGTTCACGTTTGAAAAGAAAACGAGGAATGAATTGAACAGACATATCCGTGAGGTCTGGAAAACCTTTGTCAAAGTAAAGAATATTAGGAATTAGAATAAGAATTGTTTAGCCTTTCTGCGAGTCATGTGGTTTTTAAGTATGCTAATGTATGACCTAGGAATGAGTACAAAGACCTTAAGAATAAGTCGCACAAGCGCAAGAAAAAGGGAAGACTTGGGTGGGACGCGTTACCGCGTCACAATGTCCCACGAGGTGCGCAAAGTGGGACGCGTTACCGCGTCAACGCTGTCGTCAACGTGTTAACAGACTTGGAAAGAAGAATGAATGAGGAAAATTACGAGACAATGAAAAGATCACCAGCAAGAACACGGATTCGTATGACGAAGAGGTAAGGCGTTGCAAGGTAAGGGAATACGCTAGAGCTCGTATCACACGAGAATGCACAGACGCCACGTATGCTCCGGATAGGCATGGAACCAGTCAAGCGGAGACATAAGCTTCCTTGTAGCTTCCTCTTAGCTGTAATTTCTAGATGTCCCAGAATAACCACCAATGGATTAGGGACCCTGTTACCTCGCTCAAGAAAAGGCATGTCTAATGATCTAGTCATGACCCGTGCCCTTGATATGAGATGTCCTTCCAAAGTGGAGAGAAAAGTTCGGCGGTCTAGTATCACCATCCATCCAATCATAGCCCGGTTCCTCGGACTTGGAGGCGGACCGGGCTGAGCTATCCTTCTGTGCTAAACCAGGAAGGTCTTTCAGGGCGTGACAAGCTTTTTGAAAACGGTCTTTTGCATGATATAGGGGCAGATGCGGGAACCACAGAACCATGTTCAATTTTTCCTGAACGGCCCTCTGAATACCAGAAAAGGGGTCCCTAGTTCGATTCCTCGTGGTGACAAATTTTTGCATTTCGAGTTGACGTTCCAAAATTCGCGCAAAATGGAGTTAGCATGAATAATTAGTACCATATTCATGATTAGGACAGTAAGTAACCAGTAATCCTTCAGTAACCCTTACAAATTACACTTTTTTTTCAAAAAACAAACGGTGAAAAAAGGTTTCACGAGCCACAGTGGGCTGCTTGGTGTCACACCTCTTTCACCAATTTTTAAGTCAAAGTCTTTTTGTAAGGGTTACTGACGGTCCTAATCATGAATATGGTACTAATTATTCATGCTAACTCCATTTTGCGCGAATTTTGGAACGTCAACTCGAAATGCAAAAATTTGTCACCACGAGGAATCGAACTAGGGACCCCCTTTTCTGGTATTCAGGGGGCCGTTCAGGAAAAATTAAACATGGTTCTGTGGTTCCCGCATCTGCCCCTATATCATGCAAAAGACCGTTTTCAAAAAGCTTGTCACGCCCTGAAAGACCTTCCTGGTTAAGCTATTCTTCTTTTTTCACAACCATTTATCGTAACACCCTCCTTTCAATTCAACAGCTAATCTATCGAATAGCTGCGTAAGGCAAAGAAGAACTCAAAGTAAGCCTATGATTCTGAAAGGAACTCGACCCGTTAAAAAACAAAATCCATCAACTGCAGCGCTCTACTATTTATATTTTTACGTCTAACGACGCATTCTTCATTAGGTAACCATCACTAAAGACCGGCCTCTGCTCGCATAATATTCTGAGGGACAACTCTACTTGCCTTTCGTCATGGCGGTAAAATGGTATTGACTTAATAGGAAGGAAAAGGCATGAAAACGTTAGCACAGTTGGCTACTTCGTCTTTGTTATTCTTTTAGAAATTGAGGTCACCTACCTTAACACAGCCTGGATAATCAATTGATGGTAGCCCATAGATTTCAAACTGCTTGCTGTTGTCACCGGATGAGATGAAGACCGGAAATTTCTCACACTCCAACATGGCTGAATCTTCGCCGAGGGTTGCGCTCCAGTAACAGACAGCAATCGATTCGGGCTAAATTTATTTTGGGTGAGTTGTGTTTAGGTTAGCTCGCAGTCAAAGCTACTGCATGTCACCAAAGCCCCTCCTACAATTCATTTGCTCTCTGAGAAGTGGTATGATATTACGCTAAATATATGGTAACGGTTAGGTTTCATAGCACGGAGAAGATCACACTGAAAGTTTTTTGTCTACTTAAACTGTTGGCTTTGGGTTGAAGGTTGCCAAAGAGGTGATAGCAGCAAGAATGACGGAAATCTTCAGCGAGTGAGAAAGGCCAGTAACTGTAAGCAGACAAGTAATCAAAGTAATCGTTCACGGATACAGCACTATTCTATGCCACCCATTTGCAATCAGCTTGAGAGCCATACTCCACGATAAGAACAAGTAAAATTAAAAAAAGGGCTCGGTTGTTTTAATTCCAAAAATCTACATTTTGTGTGAACGCTTTCACTTGTTTCTTAGAGTGCCGTGACTAAGAACTCTCTTTGGCCGGGTCTCATCCAGTAAGTGGGGGGGGCCATCAAGTGGTTGCCGCCTCACCCCCACCAGGGTCAACCCTATGTTGCTACAAGTAGCAACGGGGGGTCGTATTTTGGTGATGAGTTTGTAGAGGGGGGTCGTACTTGCTTCGGTTGTAAGAAGTTGCATGTGATGAGTGGGGAGCGGCGCGGGAGAAAATTTGCCGTTTCAGCGCGCGTATATACCCTAGAGAAAATGGAGCAGTTGAAATATGGGTAAAACATAGGGGAATTGCAAGGAAATGTAGGGAATTTTTGCGGTTTTAAGGGAAGTATATACCCCCCCCCGCGCTCGACGGTAATTTTTTGGGGTAAAAATTGTATTGAAAGGGGGGGGGGTCGTAGGAAACTTTTCCTGAAGGAGGGGGTCGTAAAAACTTTTTGAAAAAATAAGCAACGATAGGACCCGCACCCTGCCCCCACCCCCCCCTAGACTGCCTACACTCCCCCTGGCGCACAGGTTTCTCGAAGTACGGGACCCCGTGAGCCAGGGGGAGTGAAGGCAGTCTAGGGGGGGGGGGGTGAGGGCAGCCACTTGACGTTGCATCACAATGCCCCCCCCCCCCTTACTGGATGAGACCCCTTTAGGTCCTTTTCTCCTTGGAAGAACATTTTACTCTTCTTTTGAATACCATGAGTGATGCAAAGTAGTATGTATAGTATGCAGTAGTATGCATAGTATGCAAAAAAAGAGTAAAATGTTCTGCCAAGGGTGAAAAGGCCAAAAAGAGTTCTTAGTTACGGCACTCTGAGAAATGAGTGAAGCGTTCACACAAAATGTAGATTTTCGGAATTAAAACAACCGAGCCCTTTTTTTTTAATTTTACTTGTTCTTATCGTGGAGTATGGCTCTCAAGCTGATTGCAAATGGGTGGCATAGAATAGTGCTGTATCCGTGAACGATTACTTTGATTACTTATCTGCTTACAGTTACTGGTCTTTCTCACTCGTGAAGATTTTCGTTATTCTTGCTGCTCTCACCTCTTCGGCAGACCTTCAACCCAAGAGAAACAATGATGAGGGGTAAATGAAGCGTGAATGTGATGATGATGGGTGAAGAAGATTTCAATGTAAAGCACAGTGAGAGCAAATACCTGCACATGCAAAGGCAAGTTTGGAAATAGCTGCTTGATCCAAGGTCCAACAGTGAAAATCACTTTTTTAGTGTGGAAAGCCGTTTTTGAGGACTTAACGACAGTCAGATTATCGGGTCTTTCATGATACTCCAGAACCTCTTCATGTTCTCTAGTTTCTCCACCAAGGTTCGCAAATTCTCTCTGAAAAATATAGTTGATTTCAATGTGGAATTACGCCTCCAATAACCAATAATGTCAGTTTCACGTAACGTACAACGTGCGCCACCATGTGGCGCACATCAAACCAGGCCTGATTGTAACATGGTGGCGCACAATTTTTGAGACATTGGAACATATTTTTTTCGCACTTCGTAGTGTAAGGTCTTGGGTTGGGTGAGGAACAGGGACAAATCGAGATAGTTGCAAGCCGAGTCATCAAGTTGAAGCAGGCTGGAACTGAGATGAATTCTACGGATTTACAGTGCGGCGACAACAGAGGCGGCGCGGAGTGGGGAGCCGAAGCGCACGGTACTGGAGAGGATCGACGACCCTGTGGACGGCCTCATCTTCAAGCAAAAGTTTTGGCTCAGAAATCCGCTCAGTGGCGCCTAAGATTTCGCAATATGCGTACTGAATCGCTCTTTCGAATGAATGGTCTCCCATCCTAGAGATTGTGTTAAGCTGAGAAACAAAGGCACAAACGGAAGCGACATTTCAATCGTTCCAACCTAATACATAAGGTCAAGGGGGTGGAGGTGGTGATGTTCACTTGAAAAATATGTATAGTCTTTCGGG